ATTATATTCCTGGAACATTTAAGGGCGTATGAAATAATTAAAATTGGAAGTACTTATAAAACCATTTTTTGAATTATGAAATAACAAATACGAATATTTTTATTGTTTCTTTTCCAGGCAAATGTAGTTGTTATTTTAATAACAGTATATTTAAAAAACAGTTGTTTGGTTTGCTTTTCACACCTTACAGTCTACAGTTAATTAAAATGAGAATACTTGATATAATTAATTTTAATTGCTCATTTTAAAACTTGTAAATCATAATTAGTAATATTTTTAAATTATTTAGACAGTTATGTGGATAAGATTATTTAATACAGTTAATTTTGTCAGTAATACAACTTTCCATTATTAATTTAGGCATGGTACTTATTGTTACTAATCTAATTTAAAAACAGTTATTATTTTAATAACAGTTTATTTACAAACAGCTGTTTATAAAATGTATTACCTTCATTATAATTCTTCTTCATTCCAAAACTTAGCAGTATCCCAAAGAACTATAAAAGTCATATACATTTGATACTAAAAGAGAAAAGGGTTCGGCATTAGTTTAATATTGTATTAGGTACGTTTTATAGTGGGCAGGCTAAATTAATTACATCTGAATACTCTCTCATAATAATTCATTTTACAGGAGCTTAAAAAACGGGATGACATGTGTAAAGAAACATTGGTTTCTCTTTCACTCTGCAAGGTAGCAGTACCTACAGTTCTGAGGAAAGCATGGAGGTGCCTTTTTTGCATTGGGAAGAGAGACAATGTGTTATTGTTTAAGGAATAATTTATGACATGATATTGGTAAGTAATAATTAAAAGTAGTAGATGAGGTCCTAGAAATATCAATTATTTCTTAGACATTTGTAACTTATTTTCAATAGACAGATTTTAAATAACATTTCAAAAATGTCAAAAGCAGTACAGTAGAATTAATGTGGAACTGTTGTTTCGGGTAGTGTGAATGTTAGCTTAATACAGTTTCATTTTTTTTTTTTTTGAAAACTAAAATAAACAACCTGTTATGAGTTTAATTTGAAAGTCAAAAGAATAGTGATAGGATTAAATATTATAGCCCAATAATACATATATTATTTGAACAGTCATCTTTAAAATGTTATTGATTAAAAGTATTTAATAATTTTTGTATCCTTTTCTACAGATCGGCTAACAAATAAGAGAGATTGGGATGTTATTTTGGCCCTGCCCTAGTGACAACGACATGGGATTTCAGATACTTTCTCTATTTGGTTTGCATTTCACATGTAAACCATGAAACGCTACAGTCTACAGCTATCTCAGGTAATAATACCTAATTGAATTAATATTAATTACACTTTATTAATCTGGTGTCAATATGGTTAACAAAAGAAGTGGTAGAACATAATGCATAGGATGATGAGCATATGTTACTTCTTATCGAAATTTTGTGTAAAAAGGCTCGGTTGGGGTTTATAGCTCCAGTACGTTTTGCTGATTTTGCCCCAAAAATTCAAAGAGAACGTAGGTTTGTATTTCCTTTCTACAATTTAATTTATTAATATTTAAACTCTGGTTTTGAAAGCCGAGTGTTTAATAACTAAACAAATTCAGTAGTGCTACTGCAGCCTGATGCTCAGAATACTCTGTAGTGAAGTGGGTTGCCTGTATCAAGGACGAACCTTCCAGCAGTATTTAATTTTAAATTCCAAGCATTCTGGGGTAATGTTACAGTGCGGGTCGCAACTTGTGTAAGCAACTAAATATTTGGATTTTAATAAAATAATATAATTTTATTTGGAACATAAGCAGTCTATGAACATAATTGTGATTTTACAACACTTAACACTATTAATCTAATTGAATATTTTTCACTTTCTTTTGTATATTTCTCCAATGTGGGCATTTTTACCTTGTGTTCTGTACATTACAATTATTTATACGATATTTTTGATATAGATAGTTGCTTATAGTTGAAAATGCAGAAAAAAAACTGATAACTCTATTTGGAAAAATTATGATAAGAGTATAAAACTATAACAAAGTAATAATAGTCAAACAGATACCTCTTAATCAAAAATAGAGATTGATTAAGAACAAAAGTAATGTATCCATATTTTTGCCATAATTTCGATGCTTTAAAAAAATCGTTACATGCACCAATAAGTGCTCTTTCCAGAGATTCGAACAGTCTATGTTCAGGCCTTTTAAATTTACGATCTAGGGCCCTGCAAATTTTAGTAAATCGAACAAAATATTACATTTTCGCTGAATTTTAGGCACACTTAAGAACATTATTTCGAAGCTTTAAAAAAGTCGTTGCATATACCAGTGTATGCCCTTTCCCGCGGTTTAGGTAGGTCGTACACAGGTCTATACATTTACACGCTACGGTCCTGCGAGCTATTATCTAATTGCATGCACAAATATGTGCTCTTTCCACCGGTTTGAATAGGTTATACCCAGATTTTTACATTTACGAACTACGGCCCTGCAAACTATCGTCTAATTCTGGTAAATCGAACAAAATGGACATCTTCCCTGGACTTTAGGCACACTTGAGAACAGTAATTTGAAGCTTTCAAAAAGCCGTTGCATGCACCAATATGTGCTCTTTCTACCGGTTTGAGTAGGTTATACCCAGATCTTTACATTTACGAACTACGGCCCTGCAAACTATCACCTAATTTTGGTAAATCTAACAAAATTAATATCTTCCCTGCACTTTTAGGCACACATAAGAACATTAATTTGAAGTTTTCAAAAAGCCGTTGCATGCACCAATATATGCTCTTTCTACCGGTTTGAGTAGATTATGCCCAGGTTTTTACATTTACGAACTACGGCCCTGCAAACTGTCATCTAACTTTTGTAAATCGAACAAACTTAATATCTTCCTTAGACTTTTAGGCACACTTGAGAACAGTAATTTGAAGCTTTCAAAAAGCCGTTGCATGCACCAAAATGTGCTCTTTCTACCGGTTTAAGTAGGTTATGCCCAGGTCTTTACATTTACGAACTACGGCCCTGCAAACTATCACCTAGCTTTGGTAAATCGAACAAAATTAATATCTTCCCAGCACTTTTAGGCACACTTAAGAACATTAATTTGAAGTTTTCAAAAAGCCGTTGCATGCGCCAATATGTGCTCTTTCTACCGGTTTGAGTAGGTTATACCCAGATCTTTACATTTACGAACTACGGCCCTGCAAACTATCACCTAACTTTGGTAAATCGAACAAAATTAATATCTTCCCAGCACTTTTAGGCACACTTAAGAACATTAATTTGAAGTTTTCAAAAAGCCGTTCCATGCGCCAATATGTGCTCTTTCTACCGGTTTGAGTAGGTTATACCCAGATCTTTACATTTACGAACTACGGCCCTGCAAACTATCACCTAACTTTGGTAAATCGAACAAAATTAATATCTTCCCAGCACTTTTAGGCACACTTAAGAACATTAATTTGAAGTTTTCAAAAAGCCGTTCCATGCACCAATATGTGCTCTTTCTAC